GACCAGAACTAGCTGGTGCCTGGCTACCAATGTCAACCACTCAAAAAGGTATCAAAATTGGAGATCCAAAGGACCCAAAGGAAAAAGGTGGAACAAAATTCAAAAACCCAAAATGACCAGACTTGTTGGTTGGATACAGATTGGTAGAAGCCCTGAGACTATGTCCCCATGTTATTATCCTTTGGGCCTAGAAATGGACTCAATTAGATGGATTGGCTCTCAGCCCAACAGTAGAAAGACTTACATGCAGAACACCTACCCCAGGGAGATGCACCCACCTACCCTAGGGAGATACACCCCTTAGAGCAATCAGCCATGAGACACCAGAAGGGCAGCATTCACACAGAGGGAAAGCTGGACAGACAGGAATGCATAGGTAAGAAGGGAAGAGGGAGGGGGTAGTCACAGGGAAGAAAAGGGAGGAATGTTTTTTATGATTGGAGATTGTAATTGGGCCATGAAATCAAATGTGTGTGAACCATTGAATGTAAAACAAATCTGCTTTGTAAATTTGCACCCAAAGCACAAAGAACAATGAAAAACAAACATACTCAACGGTGTGAGCAGTTTTATCTGTGTGTCATATTTTTGTAATTAGTATTCTTAGAAGAGCTTTGAAAAGTACATTACTTATATTTCAAAGATTTGAGCCATAACTGGTACTCTAAGTAGGGAAAATTAAAGGGAGGAAAATCACAAACTCAAGTTCAGTTACATAGTTTTGTTTTGATGAAGTAAAAAAAAAATAAGCTAAATAATTATATACAATGCAATTTAGGATGAATTTCCATTACTTAATAACTTACTTCCATTTCTTTATCAATTGATTTCTTTTCTGTTTCTTTTATTTCAGTTACTTCTTCATCTGAAGAAATTTCAGGAACTGTTGGCAATGATATTTCAGCTATTTGCACAAGATTAGATAGTTTCTCATGAACTGAAATAACCCTAAAAATAACAAAATATACATATTTTATTAGAAAAATTGAGAGAGGCCTTCATGTATTTTCAGAATCAATCATATATAGCAAACATTCTGTTATTTAGAGATTAGAATTCTGACATCTCCAAACATCATTCGCTCAATCATTCCTTCATTCAACAAACACTTACTGAGTACATGCTAGCCACCTGGAACTCTTCCAGGTACTAGAGTTCCAACCACCATAAAAAAGACACAGTTGTAACCCTGATAATATTTATGGTCTAGTTATACACTTAGATAAATTTATAATTACAAATTGAGTTCGATACAATGAAATAAAGGTATACATCTAAAATACTACACAAGATAAAAATAAAGAAAGGAAATACATAATCACATGAACCAAGAAACTCCAAGTTATAAAAAGATTTATTCCAATGTACATCTTAATGCCAACTTATGGCTGATTGTCTGGTTGATGTGATGGTAAAAATTATGACAAGCCCAGAACAGTTAAGTGTGCTGGTTGTGTGGGGAAAAGAATCAAGGAAGAAAGAAATGTAAAATCCTAGGCAGAGGATATAGTGACAATGATGCTAAAACCAGAAAGCTTCAGAAGCTACAGGCCAGTGAA